AGCACAAACATGCGCAGGTATTGCAAAGCAGTTAAGTTGTGCTCAAGTTTGCCCTAAATTTCTGCACCCTTCTCGTTGTCGAGCGTGGGCGCCGCCATGTAAATACATCACACAGCCAGCTATAAAAAAAGATACAACAGGTCTAGCTACAACATGTATTAATCCGTTTAATGTAGTAATAACCAAGCCCGGGCCTAGCCAAGACCAGTTGGCTCAGCATGTGACCACACTTGTAGCCACTCAGCTGACCAGAAGCCAAGACACGCGCCGGGAAAGCTATGTTTCGGAATTCAAATCATGAGATCATTTTGACCCTGGCCGACTGATGCCCCGGTACCTGGCGGCCTACTGATGCCCCGGTACCTGGCGGCCTACTGATGCCCCGGTACCTGGCGGCCTACTGATGCCCCGGTACCTGGCGGCCTACTGATGCCCCGGTACCTGGCGGCCTACTGATGCCCCGGTACCTGGCGGCCTACTGATGCCCCGGTACCTGGCGGCCTACTGATGCCCCGGTACCTGGCGGTCTACACCAATGATAATTAGTCCATCTTTATACATGTACATCTACACCAATTTTTGTACTTACATCTATAAAGAGACTTTCAGAGTTATCAAAGTTTTGTTGTCTCTTATCCATCAAGTTAATTACCTGGTTGATGGGGTTCTGGGAGTTCTTCTACTCCCCAAGCCCGGCCCGAGGCCAGGCTTGACTTGTGAGAGTTTGGTCCACCAGGCTGTTGCTTGGAGCGGCCCGCAGGCCCACATACCCACCACAGCCCGGTTGATCCGGAACTTCTTGGAAAACAGTCCAGTTTTTTCTTGAAGATGTCCACGGTTGTTCCGGCAGTATATGAATATTATAATATGAATGAGTCTATGGAAATAAAAACATCTCATCAGGGCAAACATCACTTGCCGGGTTACCTTACCTTGAGGTGCTTCCGGGGCTTAGCGTCCCCGCGGCCCGGTCGTCGACCAAGGCTAATATGAAGATCGACTTGCTGGGAACACGAGAAAACAAAATTATTTTCTTCTAGAAATATTTTGGCGCAAGTCGATAGAAACTACCAAGTGACTAAGAATATGTTGACGAGGCCTCCTTTTTGTTACACACCCCCAGGAAGCAGCCCGTAGCAGCTGTAACTCCCAGGTACCTATTTACTGCTAGGTAACAGGGGCATAAGGGTGAAAAAAACATTTTGCCAATTTGTCTCCGCCTCCACCGGGAATCGAACCCAGAACCTCAGGACTACGAATCCGAAGCGCTGTCCACCCAGCTGTCAGGCGCCCTACTGCCCAACAACCATCATGGAGCCAAAACACACCACAGCACACTGTGGTGTGATGTGGTGGAGGCCGACTCCATACACAGTTTCAAATGTTGATATAACAGAACTCGAGAAGCTCGAACCTGTACACCAGTAGACTGACGGTCGAGAGGCGGGACCAAAGAACCCAAGCTCAAGCCCCGCAAGCACAACTAGGCACGAACACACGCATGCGGTTTCTTAAGGAATTATTTCAGCGTGGTGCAAGCAGTTCCCCTCCGGGTCAGGTCACACGGGGATGGATCAGTAGCAAGCCCTCCTGCCTGGTAGAACCAGCAACCCAGTTGACAGGGGGGAGGGGGGAAGAGACACAAGACAGGGGGTAAGGAACTTTAGTACAACGACTAAGAAACGTCACGAATCAGATACCTGGTTGATGGGGTTCTGGGAGTTGTTCTACTCCCCAAGCCCGGCCCGAGGCCAGACGGGAAAGACTGAAAACTTTATTAAAAAAACGAGTCGAGATAAAATATATATTAGCTACGGTTCACAGCCCTTCCCCTTTAGTCTGTTTGGACACACTTGACTCTGGCAACCCGACCCGAGGACAGCCCTCTCCCGGCGATAGCCTGATCCACGAGGTTATTGGTGTTGGTGGCCCGGAACTTCTCACTACCCTAACACTCATCATCATGCACCACCTTCGGGAGATTCTGTAGGTTTCCAGAGACTACTTCTACCTGGCCTCCGGCACCAGTTGAGCCATTAATGGTGCAATGTGCACAGCCGTAGTCCGTCTGTGTTGACGATGTTCTGTACAACGATGGCTTATGGTAACCTTACTCCCTATTGGCAGAGGAAGAGAGAAAGAGGGAAAGAGAAAGAGAAAGAAAGAGAAAAAGAGAAAGAAAGAGAAAAAAAGAGGGAGGGAGAGAGAGAAAGAGGGAGAGAGAGAAAGAGGGAAAGAGAGAAAGAGGGAAAGAGAAGGAGAGGGAAAGAGGGAAAGAGAGAAAGAAAGAGAGGGGAAGGAAGAGGGAGCAGTAGGTGGAAGTAGTGGGTGGGGAGGACGGTGGCGAGCCAGTATTGATCTAGCGGCCGCAGGAGTCACACACCACCTGCCACCAACTCTCATATCCTCTCCCCCGCCCCGCCCCTATCCACACCCCCAACGTCCCCAACTGTCCTCCGCCCCTCCACCTACTCCTTCCCCATTCACCCCTTTAATAAGACTACGTCCTCCACTAATGGACACCCACCCCAGCCCCCTCCTTGTCTCCACAAGCTTGTACTAGACTCTTAAGTTGCACAATACTAGAGAACCGCCTCTCCCCCACCTACACCAGACCAACTTCCATAGTCGCAGCAAACTGCGTACAAGACTTCCAGATTTCCATCACCTACACCAACTGAAAGAAAACAGTTTTGGTCACAATGACGAATCCACAGCTGCTACGCCGGTTACTTTTCAACACTAATGAATATCTTTTAAACAAAAAAGGCCCCTATTCAAGTGCCTACCCTCTCTCCCTGCCTCACACACACACACACACACACACACACACACACACACACACACACACACACACACACACACACACACGAGAGAGAGAGAGAGAGAGAGAAACAGGTGGTGGTGGTGGTTGTTGTTAAAGATTCGCTACCTGGAACAGTTCCAAGTAGCACGGGCTATGGTGAGCCCGTAGTCTAGGTGAAGGTACTCTAGTAGATAAGGGAGTACCTCAGCAACAGAAAACGGTCAGACACCTCAGAGTGGGGGAGATGTTGCCAGTAGAGTGCTCCAAGTGCCAGTTCTGGGGCCGACCACATTTGTTAATCTATGTGAACCACCGATGAGGCGATATAAGAGTCCTTCCTCTCAATGCAAAAATGATGAGGTTTAAATACCAAGACTACACGAAACTTTTTAAAGAGGACCTCTACACAATTAGAATATGGTCCCTCAAGTGGGCTGCTAGAAGTTAACTTTAGCAATGAAGCTATTCCAGTAAAGTAATGAAGCTGGGTACTGGAATAAGACAAAGACGGAGGTTCCCTATAAAGGCGTGATACTGACATTACCCTCAATACCACCAGAATTCCTCATCAAAAGAATTTCATCAGCTGCACATGGGAGGTTGGGTAATATAAGAACTGCCTGAAGGACTCTGAGCAATGAGGCACAATCTCTCTAGTTTATGTCAGACCAATTCAGTTATATGCAGAACAAGCGTCCTTATCTCAAACACGAAACAAGGCTTGAGAACGTTCAGAAGCTTGCCACCAGACGAGTCCCAGAGCCGAGAGGTATGAGCTACGAGAAAATGTTACAGGTGTTAAATCTCACGTTACTGGGAGAGAAGACATGATTACCACATACAAAATACTTATGGGAATAAACAGGGCAGAGACAAACTATTTAGCGGGGGGGATAGTACACGTACATATGGAAGTACCCAAATGACACACACAATTTTTGTTCCGTGTCAGTAGTGAACAACTGGAATGCGCCAAGTGTTGAATGCAAAATCCACACACGGCTTTAAATGTAGATACAACAGAGCCAAATATGAACCCGATACGCCAGTCGATTAAAAGTCGAAACCCTGGGCCCAAGAGCTGAAGCTCGAGCCAACAGATACAGACAGGCGAGTAGACACACTTGATAAAATAAAAGCTTACCCTTATGTAGGACTTGTGCACACACTCAGGAGACCATGTTGTGAACGTGCAGCCTACTGCGCAATGGAGGCCCTCGTGAAGAATACACACCTACCTTGAGGTGCTTCCGGGGCTTAGCGTCCCCGCGGCCCGGTCGTCGACCAGGCCTCCTGGTTGCTGGACTAATCAACCAGGCTGTTGGACACGGCTGCTCGCAGCCTGACGTATGGGTCACAGCCTGGTTGATCAGGTATCCTTTGGATGATACCATCACACCAACAATGTATTTCCCCAGAATTCCTCCACTACTAATGACCACCTGAATAAATCTAAATACGTCTCAGGGCTCCTTCATTATTATCCACTTCCACAAGAATAAATCTTAAGAAAACAAAATTCACCACATTTCCCCTTCGCTGTTAATGGTTTCCAGCAGAATAAATCTGAACAAATGTCAACCCTTACTTAAATAGGAATCTGGCTATAAAACTAATAATTTATGTAATTTTTTCTCCACCGGAATAAATTTAAAGTCGGAATTTGTTCACCAGAACACTTTTTAGCAGATTAATGTTAAAAGGCATCAGTCGAAGATCATTACGGAAATCATTGATGTCTTCGCGCACAAAATTATTCTGATGGATACCGGCATGTTATTTTTCAAGATCTCTGCGATGTAAACTCCCTGAGGAAGAAAACCAACGTGACGCAGAGCAAGAACATTTGACGACGACGAGGACGGGTGGAATACCTGGAGCAGTCCAGCAACCAGGAGGCCTGGTCGACGACCGGGCCGCGGGGACGCTAAGCCCCGGAAGCATCTCAAAGGTAACCTCAAGGTGCATATACCTGGAGAGGATTTCGGGAGTTGTTCTACTACCCGAACCCGGCTTGGGGCCAGGCACGACTTGTGATAACTTGGTCCAACAGACTGTTGCTTGAAGCGACCCACAGGCCCACATACCCACTACAACCACTTTCGATGGTGGTACTTTTGATGGTGGTGACGACGACGGCGCTGGAGCCCTGGAATAAACACTTGGAGGCAACAAGAAGGAACCAAGTACTCACCAGTGACGGGCGCCTCAATATCGATCATGGTCTTCTCCTGACGAAGAAGGGCGGCTCCCTCGTTGATGATGCGAAGGGCCGCCGCCTCGTCGATGCGGCCCTCCAGGATGAAGTGGTTCTTCAGCCACTCGAACTTGGGCTTGCCCGTCTTGGGATCGAACACTTCTGTACATGTTAACTTATGTGACGGTGGGAACGGCACACCTGTAACGAGAAGAATAGCACCATCACTACAAGAACACACATGTTGCTTGAGAGGAACACACACGGGGGGGGGGGAGAGAGAAAGGGGGGGAGGAGAGGCGCAAGCAGGCAGGCAGGCAGGCAACACACTGAAAGTTATCGCAAATGATCAAGATCTGAAACATCTGACAAAAAGTACAATAATGTGGCTTGTAGTCCAAGATTACATAATCTATCCAGTTGCCCCATGAACACCAATCAATAATTTTACTAAATTAGTCGCTTTAAAAAGGGTACCTGATCCATATTCGGGTCACAGTAGACCACAATGCTGTCTGCGAGAATACACAGTTCGTCAAATACATTATATTTATGAAGCTCTCTTCTTGCCCCTTCCCCCGATTACTATCCGTGACTAAATTAAATATGAGCTAGAAGAATATCATGAACTCCCTCCACATCGTCTTCTGGAGACAGTCTTCAAGCTAGCAGAAACACTTCAATTTTGAGCTGGCGTCATTCGCGTGATAACTTGTGCCCCGCAGTAAGTTTTTGGAAAAGTTAATGATATTCCACACACATCCTCCACGAAAGATCTTTTTTACCAAGCTGTTTTTCATTGAAGGGAAAACAGACGCGTCACAATAACGTGGCTGAAGAAATGATGACCAAACCCCACCTCAAGAAGATGGAGAAGCGCCGACGTTTCGGTCCGTCCTGGATCATTACCAAGTCGTGTGATAGTCTTTCAAGGAACAGCCTTCAGGGTGCTGCTTGATGGGGTTCTGGGAGTTGTTCTACTCCCCAAGCCCAGCCCGAGGCCAGGCTCAACTTGTGAGAATTTGGTCCACCAAGCTGTTGCTTGTGCTCGTTGTTGCCCCCGGACAACCAATCCCACGTCCCTGGCACCTCTACCTGGATGGGATTCCGGGGGTGGTTCTGTTCCCCAAGCCCGACCCCTCGACTTACGAGAGCTTGGTCCAACAGGCTGTTGCTTGGAGCGGCTTGCAGACGCACATATCTAACACAGAATGATTGGTCCAGCACCTCTCTCAGACATCACGACATTGATTCACAAACCCTCACGGTCAGAACTCTTTGTATTACAACGGCTCTTAGGAGGCCTACAGGGAGACGAGTCTTTGAACTCTTCATTCAAAACTTATTTCGTAGGCAGGTAAAAGTTTTAAGCTTCGGGTCGTAGTTCACCAGTCAAGAGTGAAGGCAAGATTTCAAAACCTGTTGCTCGACACAGCTCCATCACAATGGAAGGGCCAATCTCGTATGAGAAATCTTATCAGCTGATGTTTGTAAACAATGATCACACACACACACACACACACACACACACACATGAGAGAGAGGCGGGACCAAAGCGCCAAAGCTCAACCCCCACAAGCACAACTAGGCAAGTACACACCAGGAGCTCGGGCGGGCGGGCTGGCGAGCAAGCATTTAGTTTTGAGCTTTACTCAGGAATTAAGTATAATTGGTTGTTTGGTCAAGCCAGCGTGTTGAAGTACAATTGTTGATTGACTATCTGATACTTTTACTTTCATAGAAATATAGTAATTGCGAGCCAGACACAGTGCATTTATATCCTGCATGACTGGCCCGCCGGCGAAGGCATCTTGGCGCCAACCAGGGGCTGTATATATAGTAAACTTGTGTCTTATGTCGTGCTGTGAGTGCTCCGTCGTCACCTTAGCCCGCTGGGGGGCGTCCTTACGGGTTTCCGTGCTGGTAAACTGTTCCTGAATACCGACGTAGCCGCCATGGAGGAAGATAAGGTGGGACAACTCTTAAGTGATCACGTAACCGCTTCGTGAATCCTCCAGAGCAGCAGCTAGCTCGCACGGCAACCTCTTCCAGGCATACGTGGCTCCCTTCATCAATGGGGCTACCTTGGATCGTCCGTAACATCCGCTACTAAATTAACAATCGACTTGAGAATGGTCCAGGACGGACCGAAACGTCGTCGTCCCTTCACCTTCTAGTGTGTGGTCTGGTCAACATACTTTAGCCACGTTATTGTGACTCCTCGCCTGCGTAACTATAGGCATATACCCCCTCTCCATGGCGTTATATCCGGATTCGCCTCCTGCATCTTTAAGAGCGGATTAGCGTGATCGATCCAGACCTCGATCATTGCTCTTGTATTACTGGTCTGGTGGTGGCAGCAGAGGTGACTCTAGGGTTTTGTTCAGAGCTTAGGTCACGTCATACTGGGTGTAGAATCCTAAGTCGGTCAATCGTCTTAGGACCACGTGGCGTGGAGTTGGCTTTGGTAAAAGTTTTGGAGTCCCTTGGTTTAGAAATAAAAGTAAGAATACGGGTAGAGGGAGTAGAAAGAAGGAAGTAAAGAGAGAGGAACCTAACCCGTGTTACAATGGTGCACAGCGGTGGTTTCAACAATTTTGTTTGAAATTGTTGAAAGGCTCACGCGTCTAGCCGTTCGAACACGTGCGCGGATGCTAAGGAGACAGCCGCGGGCCAGGATTAGCAGTGCGCCCCACAACAGTGCGGTTGAGTGGGGATTGGCGAATCTTGAGTCATGCGGGCTGATATGATTAAGGTTTAGTTAGTAAGATTAGGCTGTTAAAAATAGTTTTATTGAAAAGGAGACCGCTCCGAGTTGATTGGACTGGGTACCATACTCGACCCATTGCAATTAATTCAGAGGTGTTGGGAGCCACCATACTCTCAACAGCAGTTCCTTGAGGGCTGTCGGGGGCGGATATATCTGTGGGACGCCAATAGATAGTCCGAGGGCGTTATTAGACGACCCAAAACGCTAGGAAAAACGTAATCCGTGAAGGGCGTTGCGGCCTCCGAGGGACGGACTAGTAACCTACCTAGCAGCGATTCAACAACTAAGTGATCGCACACTTAGTGGAGGTTGAGTCGTCCCTAGTCATAATTGTTGCTGAAAGCTGCGTGTCGCTCTGTTGGAACCTAGATGGTGTGGCCTCTAGGCTAGGTGTGGTACGGCGAGCCGGTAAGGACAATTATAGGATTAAGTCGAGTGCATTTTTTAATTAAGTATACTTAAATTTATAAAGTAATTTCCGTTTATTTGCGTTGTTCTAGATTAATTTTTTCCCCTAAATTCAATCCCCGGTTAAAAAATTTTTTTTATCAAAGATGTTTAGCGTTTTCTTGCATATTAGGCTAAGTGCGTACATTTTTTTGCTATTCCCTGTTGTATTAGTCTAAGTCAGAGGCGTTGTTGCTAGAGTGTAGTTAATCCTCTGGACTTAGGGCTATATGTCGGTCACGATAGATAAGTGAAGGAGTTTAAGGGATAGTAAGTTGCGTGTAAATGTTATTTGTCCGCGGAATATTTCTAAGTATTTTGGGATAAGTTTTCGGCTAAGTCGATGTCGGAAACTCGTTAACTGTAATTAATTTGTATTCGTGGGTCACGTGTATGATCTGGGTATCATTAGGATTCCCCAGTCGATGCGTGTGATATTTTCTAGTTTTTACCAGTAAGACGGTAGAATTGTGTTTGTAGACTTAGAATTCTGTTTTCAGTAGAAACGTAGGTGGAAAATTTTCTAAGTCCAGCTTGGGCTAGAATCTGACTTTTTGGCGGAAATTCTAATTTTCATGTTTCGTGTATACCCTAGGGTCAGTATTACTCTCTAGTGCGCGCAAGGGACGTAATTCTGTCCATAAGCATTAAACAGTGATAATTACATTTTTTGCCGAATTTAGTTATTTTTCGAGAAAATCGTGTTGTAATTTTGTCAGAGTCCATTTGAGGTGAAAATCTCTGATTTTGACGAAAATTCGAATTAATGAGTGTTGAAACCGCCCGGAGTGTCAGTATTGTTCTGTATACAACGTCAGTATTAAATAATAACGTATTTATATCTGGAAACGAGAAACCCAAATTTTTGTGAATTAAAGGAGTTTTGTGATATTTGGGGTGATAGAATATTTTTCCCTCGGAGTCAGAAAAATTGGCAGAGTCCAGCAATTGAGTAAAAGCGCAGTTTTTGATAAAAATTCAATTTTTAGTAAGCATTTATAGGTCCTGGGTGTCTATATTAATCGCTAGAGCGGTTTATTAACGTAAAACTAGTTATTTTTCCTTCAGAACAAAAATTTTGATTTTTCAGCGTTTAAGCGAAAAAGCGCGGGACTTAGTTTTTTTTCAGCGCAGCTGGTCCTGCTCCATCAGTCATCAGTGGCCACGCTGCTCACTTCAAGCGCGTTTAGTATTCAAGTACAGTAAATATTCTTTATTAATCCATCACGAGTGCTGTGCGTTAGTTGCGTTATCATTTAAATTGTTTTATATAAATTAGATTCTTTAATTTTTTTAACGTAAAGGACTTAGGTTTCAGCAAGAGAACTGCGGGATATTCACGGGCAGACACGAGTGCGGGGCAGACACTCATTCATTGGATTCACTTCAGCGATTCTCTCGATAAATCGTTGTATTTCCTATTTTGGGAATCTAGTAGTTTTCTCTTAGAATAGAGTTGTGATTTTTTATTTGTGTAAGATCACGGTTGTAGTGAGTCCGGGTCGAGGGTGTACTAAAGGGTAGTTTAGAAGAGACGTGGCACACCAGGAATCACAGAAAATGTTTAACCCAGATAATGACCAGTCAGTAGGGACCAGTGGGAATGGGAGTGTAGAGGACAGCACCTCTTCCGACACCACTGGGGACCACCTAGGTACACCTCATCCGTCACTACAACAACCCCAACCCCATCCTCAATTCCCATACCAACCCCATCCTCAATTCCCATACCAACCCCATCCTCAGTTCCCATACCAACCCTTCCCCCAACCCCAGGCCACTCCATACCCATTCCAACCCCAGGCCACCCCATACCCATACCCATTCCAACCCCAGGCCACCCCATACCCATACCCATTCCAACCCCAGGCCACCCCATACCCATACCCATACCCATTCCAGCCCCAGGCCACCCCATACCCACCCCAACCTCAATCCACACCCCAGCCTGAGGTCACCCACACCATACCTCAACCCCAACCTC